CCTTCGTCAATGGCGCGGTAGACTTCATCTTCGGTCTACGCGCCATCGCGTGGTTCGACAAGATCGATATCGAATCCATCGGCCCCGGTTGGGTCACTGCTAACGGCCGCGAAGCTGACAACAACACAAGCATCTATGTCTTCAACCAGGTTAACGTCTCCGGTACCAACGGCACGAACTCGACCTTCCTTGGCAGGCCGTGGAGACCGTACTCGAGGGTGGTTTTCCAAGACAGCTATTTGGGCGATGTAGTGAAGCCGGAGGGATGGGCAAGGTGGGACGATGTGCAGAGTGTGGACAATATTGTGTATCAGGAGTACATGAACTATGGACCTGGCGCAAATCCTGAGGCAAGGGCAAACTTCTCGTCGCAGCGCGACGCGCGTATCAAGGCGTCGGATGTGTTTGGGATGAACTTTGAGAAGGAGAATTGGGTTGATGCGGACTACTTGTAGAAATATGATAGAGTCTGAGGGAGGCAGTTTTGTACGATAGACTTGAAAGAGCTAGTAATTGTACCATTCGGTGCCCAGGTGTGCTTCAACCCCGCGCCCTATGACATCGCGTGCTGCTGAGAGGACGACAATGTATGCCAAAGACACTCATGAGAGACATGCCTGGGTCGGCTTGTAGTCCGACAAGCCGTTGGAAGTCGTATAGTAGGTTGGGTGGTTGCGAATGAAGGTGGTTGGCAGGGTCGGAAAGCTCGATGGCCGGGAGTGGGGCATCACGTGACCATCAGCGTTGGCAGGCAGCATCTGGGCATCCACGTATCCATCTCCAACTAAGCGCAGGATAAATCACCGCAAACCGATCCCGAGCTCTTTGAGTTTCTACCCGCTGCAATATGTGGTATCGTGGTCCGTAGATATCTTCCCATGTCGATGCTGTCGTCGCTAATCCTTTGGCATACGTCATCTTCTTGATTGCGCAAAGCTCCACGGCACACGCAAACATCAGCAAAAAGTAGCGATGAGCACTGACATTCGGTGTCATCCTTTTCCGCAACTGTCATAGATGAATAAGAGTGGATTTGTACGGGAAGTAGATGCCGAACCCCCAGAGATAGGCCTTGCGGCTTGATGATGACGTTTTGGCAACATCACAGGCACGTCAAGGAGGGAGGGTGATAAACATGCGTAGACATATTCCTGTGAGCTTTTGCAAACAAAAACTTTGTACTTGTAAAATCCCGTAATAGACTCGAGATACACCAAAAACAAAATGGCATCAAGATTCCTCCAAAGCTTCTCGCGCTCAGCGCCCATCGCGAGCCGCTCACTCCAACAACGGAGCGAAGGTAACTACCCTCACCCCAAAACAAAAGAACAACCACTGACACACCTCCTCACAGTCCTCGCGCCAGTCATAACCCGCACATACGCCAGCAGCGCCGCACCCGGCCAATCATCCAACGTATCCAACCCGCAAGCAAGCAGCGCCGGGAGCCAGTCCATCAACAAGAGCGCCTCAGTCGGCCAGACGGACAAGAACGATGGCGACCACGCATCAATACAGAACCCAGTCAGCCATCCTGAGCAAGACCGCGCCGGCGCGACGGAGGAGACAACGGAGAGTCAGGACAACATGAAGCATGACCCGAAGGAGTCGGATGCGAAGAAGAGGGAGAAGACGCTCAATTATGGGCAGAATAAGCCGCTGGATGCGGCTGATAAGTAGAGACTTGTATAAGAAATAGAAGGTGATCTGGCGGCTCCATGTAGGGTTGGGAAGTGGAAGAACATTTTGAACGATGCTGATGCTACCATATGACCCTAAGACCCGTGTGGTGATAATGCCTCACATGTTGAAGAAAAGGCCTACAGACCGTGTTTGATTCATGAAGGGGCTATTGTTGTATGTAATCGTCTTCCGAGTAGTGGTGATCATTTGCATATACGATGCGGTCAATCATCTCTTTGACGTCTTCGTTGTTGCTCCCAACCTTTTCCGATAGCTGACTATCGGGATTTCTGTACAGCGTAGTGCTGTTCATCGAATGGGTATTTGACTGACGTATCAATGGTCGGCTTAGCTACATCAGCACATAGTTACAGAGCGCTCTCCATCAGTGAACAATGATTGCCATTCCGTCCCAATGTCGCGGTCGAATGGTGCCCGGAATTGCCCCAGTCTCTCGTATACTCTGTCTTCGTACATGTTTATCTCTCTCAGCAACAAGCCCACCACTATATTGTCTGCATGGACAAGTGCCGCAAGTAGAAACATGCTTCCGTTTTCGGGCTTCTCATTCGGCTCATCCATAGTGACATAGAGACGTTCAAAACCCTCCTCTTTCAAACTCTCTGTGTTTTCATAGCCGATCGGCCCACCCAGCGTCCATTTGATAGGTCTAGACCAGGCTCGAATGGTCAGCAGTATCATCTTCTCCATAAATGGTGTTCGCTCGTTTTGATCCAGTGGAGAAAGCCTGTACTCTTCTGCGATTGCTATAACCGTCGAAGACACTCCAACAAATGGTCGCGTTCTCAGTCGGCCATTCATCGATGCCCAGCTCCATGTTGGCGTGACCACCCAGCTGCCATCCAACATCTGGCTAGAGGACCTGGGCAGCCTTTGTGGTGGCCTTTCATCAGTACGGAATGAATGTCCAGGTGCACGATTTGCTCTCCAGTTCAGACTTTGTGGGAGCGTTTTCCAGAAATGGCCAGCAAGATACGTGTCGTTCAATGCGTAGTGCATGCAGCTTGCGATAGCCGAGATAGCAATCAACTTGTCCGCTTGGGGATATGTGAGCTGCCTCGCACTGTAATCCACAAGGATCTTAGACCAAGTATCCTCTAAAGTCCGGCTGTCTAAGGCCTGCGGAATGGAAGTTATCTGAAGACCCAGCGCTTCATTCAGAACTGCCCTCGTAGGGTCAGGACAAAGTTCGAAGCCGCCTGGAAGAGATTCGCTTGCGTTTGGGACCCGTGCACAGTCCCAGAAAAGTTCTCCATGGCCAATGCTCAAAACGCGAGTAGCCAACAGGCGTTCTTGTAGGACCCATGCGCGACTTCCGAGGGGCTGTTGATAAAGCGAATGTTGGAAGTACTGGCTTGGTATGATAGTGAAGGCAGGAGGTGTGCCGGTAAAGTCCCCACTCATTCCTCGCATAGCCATAGTTGTAGTGAAAGGCAGATTCGCTTTACGATTATAACCTCCCATACAGCTTTGGTCCGGGTGCGCAGCCTGTACCAAAGAAATGTTGATGATGCAATTCGAGTACACTTCTTGCATGCGACTGCACTCCAATTGCCAGTCTTCACTACTCCCCCTGCCAGACTGTATGATACAGAGAGCATCGATCCAGAGGTAGCGAACTCCGAGCCCTTCTACGAAGCAAATTGCCTCTTGAAAAGCAATGGGTAAATCTGAATGGGGTATTCCGAGCCGAAAATCTTGCATGTTATCGGCCGTTAGCCGGATGAAGCTAGGATTTGGGCCCCAGCAGTAGCTCAAAGCAGCATACGGGCCCGATAGTTCCTCTTCCTGTGGTAGTACTAGTCGCACTTTGTGGCTGCCAAGTTCGAGGAGCCGTGTCGGATATGTACGCGGTTGTTTGTGTTTCTGACACTGCTCATGGGTGTCTAGACAAGTTCTCATCCACTTTTGCGCAGCCTGTAAGGATTCTGCCATGGGTATTGTGGACCATCTGCCGTATGTACCGACATTTACTGGGACGTTCGCTGTAGGTACTGCGACAAATCTCCGCGGGTCGAGCTTTTTCGGAAAACCGTGGGCAACACTTTTCTTTCTTCCCCACGTGGATAAAGAGGAATAGCTAACCATATGTTCTTCTGGTAGAGTACGGGAAACTCGAGAATAAGTATCTGGAATCTGACCGATGATGAAGTGACTTTTCAGGTCGTCCCTCAAGTGACCAGTTTCTGGCCTTACAGATTCCCACAAGGGAGTACAGATGTAGCATCCGGCTGTTGCTGCTTTGGTGAGAGAGGCAAGGCTCGAATGATGCTTGCGGTCGCCGCGTGAGAATACACGTACGCATTCTTCGCAAAGCATCTCCGTCAATATTCAAACACAACAAGCTCCTCCTTCCGTTGGGCCAAGGCGCCGATACAGTGGTGGGAAAAGTGTGAGCGTGAGCTGGACACTAGAGGGACAAATCGTGGCGCTTCTCGTCGTGCATACTGTGGAACCACAACAAATTACCTATCAGGATGTGCGAGGTCGCTATGAGGGTTGCGCGATTGCGGATGACAGTAGAGGTGGTTGCGGTGGCAGGGCGTGAGATGTAGATGCGGAGTGAGTCGCAGCTTCGTTGATCTGAATCGAATTGTTTACGACGCCGCATGTTGGCTGTGCCACGCACGTGATGTCCACACAAAACTTTGGAAGCACAGCCTTCGAAGTTAGCTTGATGATAACAGGTCTGCTCAACACTTAGTACTGGAGTCCTCGGATGTCGTAAATACGCGCACGCATAACTGCAATCTTACTAGTCCGCCCTCTAGTTCTAATCGCAGTGGATCATGTTCTTCACGCCACATCGCAATGCCCCAGCGTATAGCGCCACAGAGCGCATCCGTATCCGAAAAGCCGATTACCGTTCGGAGGAAATGAAAAGCAAGGACAAAGGCAGTTTGTTTCGCAGTTTCGAAACTGTTAAACGCGGAATAGCGGACACTAGTGTTTTGGCACGAGCGATCCGCCAATGAGCAGCTCCGTAGCCGGCTTAGCGCCTCGGCAACGTCTCCTGTCGTTCATGCCGCGGTCCCTAACCTCCACAATAGTCCTAGGCCTAACGGCGAAGATGCCTCGCTTGGGCGAAAACACCAGGAGGTGTGAAACTTTGGTGGACGCCCCGAGGGAAGGATGCCCTGGGCTGTGGCATGGTGGGCACGAGGCGCGAGCCTCAGGCATAAGTACCACGAGCGCGCCACTGTTTACGGTTTCTTCATCGCGCTTCATTCTCTTACCAACTTTACTATCTTTCCAACTTCTTCTATCGTTTATTACATTCGTTACCAAGGCACAGGATGTCTCTTTACACTCTTTTTGCTGCGGGTCTGCTCGCCCAGTTCGCGAACGCGTACACTGTCATCCAGATCCCTCCCCCTTTCATGGAGAAGAACATCGATCCCATTGTCTACCCTGGAGAGTTCGACAAGTCGCATCTACACTCTTTCTACGGCTCCGACGCCGTTGTTGCCGGCACCAAGACCAGCGCCGAACTCCAGAAAGGCTGCACCACCGCCGAGAACCCCAACGACTTGTCGAGCTACTGGGTGCCCACTTTCCTATACACCAAAGATGGCAAGAACTATGAGCCCGTCCCCGTCTTCCGCTTCAGCGCATACTACAACCTCGGCGAGACCCCCGCTGAGGTCGCCATTCCACAAGACTTGCAGATGGTTGCCGGCAAAGCCGACGCCATGACCCCAGACGCCATGGACGTCAACGCAAAGGCCTCATGGGGCTGCGAGAGCGAAGACATTCCTCTCGACGCCAACGGCTTCCCCACCAAGACCTGCTCCACCCACATCCAGCAACTCCTCTTTTTCCCCCAGTGTGTCAACGAAGAGACCCTCGAGACCGGCTACAAGAGCCGCGACAACGGAACACCCAACTGGTGCCCCAAGGGCATGAAGTCTATGCCCCAGCTCCGCTTCTCCATCCGCTACGATATGCGCAAGGCCCTACCCAACGGCTGGTCTGGTACCACCGCGCCGTTCAAGCTGGCTTGCGGACCTGCGTGGTGCTCGCACGGCGACTTCATCAACGGTTGGGTTCCTGAGGCTGCGAAGAACATGGTTGGCACGACCAAAGAGAAGCAGCATTTTGCTGCCGTTGAGGGTCCCCTTGGTGGCCCTTCGGATGGCGCTTCTTGCAAGGCTAAGGATGCTGATCCCAGCCACGGCACGAACAACTATGCTAAGAGCGTTGCTGCTATGGCTAAGCGCAGTGTTGGCGCTTGGGGCTGGGAGACCAGGTCTAGGCTCGCTCGCTTGGTCAATGGCGCATAAGATGCGACGGACGATGGTATCGTTCCAGCCGGAAGTCGGAAAGACCTTCATGTATATATTTAAAAAGAGGATTCTGCGTGACGTCAAAGAAACGTACACTTTGTAGCAGCAGTAACCAGCAATTCATTCACATATTCACTTCAATATCCTTACTGGCTCATTCGTGACCTGATGCCTTACTTCCTACTTATTTGTCGACCGGATAACGAGAGAAAAGCCATAGTTGAGGTATCATTTCATTTAAATTCGTTAAGAGATCGTATGACCATCGTAACATGTATTCTAGTGCAAGAACTCGTTGAAGAAGTTCACAGCACTCCTCTTCGCCCTCTCCAGACCATCCTTCTGCTTCTGGTCGTTGGGGTTACCACGCGCAGCAAAGCCGTGGTTCAGACCAGGGAAGTAGATGTACTCCCACTGGACACCCGTCTTCGGTAGCGTCTCCAACGTAGCCTTCTTCAGCTCCTCAGTGTACATTTGGTCGTTCTCGGGGGAAAGGATCTGAACGGGGACCTTGACGTTCTCGATCTCCGACTTCTCGAGCATGGAGGGGTGGGCGGTCGAGATGGCGTCGACGAGCGAGGGGTCCGCGCCGAGCTTGAAGACGGCCCATCCGCCGTAGCAGAAGCCCATGGCGGCGACCTTCTTGTATTGCGACTTGAGGGTCTGGGCGTGCTGCTTGATCTCGGGGTAGCGGATGTCCTTGTTGTTGCGGCCGATGAAGGCCATGACGTCGAATTTTTTCGCCTTCTCCGGGTCGGACATCGCGTCGGGGTCTACGACTTCGCCGCCGAATCTGTGTGATGGCTGTTAGTCCCATGGTTGCATTGCGCTGAATGTATGCGTCGCGTCGCGTAGCTGCTTACACATCGGGAACGTAGACGGTCGCATTGGCTTCCTTTGCGTAGTGGTCTGCCAGAATGCGGATGTTGGGAAGAGTCCAGCCGAAGACATCGGTGATGATAAGGATAGCGGCATCCTTGTTGTCGCCGGTGACATAGCAGTCGATGTTGTCGAGCTTGGTTTCCTTGCCGACGGACTCGGCGCCCCACTTGAAGCCGGTTTTGCAGTTGTCGCAGGCCATATTGGAGGGTTGTAAGAGGAATTGATGGATGTAGAGGGAGTTTGGAGTGACGTTTGATGCCGGCTGCGAAATTTGGCGGGGTGGAAGGGCCTTAAGTCGTTCAAGCTTCAGGTGGGGTCGGCTCCATCATCTCAGCCGTTTCCGTGCATGAAGACAGAGAAGATAGCCCGGCATTCTAGCCGGTTCTGTCGAGAGAGCCAATCATGACGCCAGGGCGTTACACTGCATTGACTTGATTCCCGGTGTTGTCGTGGGAGGAGGACGATGACGACGATAGCCGGGGCCGGAATTTGCATTCGCGCATCGCTAAACCCGAGCTTCGTTCGCCGATGTCCGCCGCGACGCTGACGAAGACGGAACACTTTTCTACATAACGGCTCCTGTCAGGCTTTCTATCATCCGGTTGCCGACATTTCTTCAAGAAACCTATCAAGTCTATATGTTGTAGTAGGCACTAAGACACTTTCCTCAAAGCGGGTATAGAGGGTCTTTGCGGCATGACCTCCGCAAGGATCCTATAAGAAGAAGCCCTAGGGGAACTTCAGGCTTTCCATGGGCGATCACAAAGATGGCTGAACATATTCAGCTCAGACTCATGACTGGCTTCTGGGTGTCTCGCTGGAGCGCCTGATGAATCACCGCAGTTCCGCGCCAACAAATTGACAACAAGGTAATAACTATCCATATATATTGAGAACGCTACAGCTGCATTGCAACCTATCTTCACTTCCTATCCGCGCATGAGCCTATTTCTGGGCTAATTCGCGATGTTCCTCGAGAATTTTGGCGTCTACACGATTATTAGGGTAAAGAGGTCGATGAACCTGCACTCCGTACGGATTTCTCTCGTAGATGATCATGAAGGCTTGGCCGAGAGCAGGAGGTTCAAATCTGTTTGCTTGCACCCATCGCGCCTTAAGCGTTTCCCAGACATCTTGCTGGAACCAAGAGATTACCCAATGCATGGGAACGTTGTGAAAGGAGGCGATGAAGTATTGCGCGTCGCTGCTCAGTGTCCATTTCGCACCACGAAACTTTCCGCCGTTTAGAACAGGCCATTTGCGATGGTGTCCGGAAGCATCTCGTGTCGTGAATTCTGCACGTGAGTTGCCCTTGAGATAGCGGAGAACCTTAAGACGTTCATCATCGCTTGATGGAACTTCCAGCATGCGGATCGCGTGTAGTTCGTGGAATTGGCCGTCTAACCCACCCTTACCGGTAGGCATCGGTAAATGACCAACCACGTTCAGTTCCCACGAGAAGCCTAGTTCTGGAATCTTCTCATCTGCAGCCCACAGTGGCTCAGGACTGATATGATGGAACATGTGGTACCCATGCGCAACTTCATGGCACAGAACAGTGGCGAGCATGAAAAGGGTTCTGTATCGTTCGTTTTCACTTACACCAGTCGATTGAAGGGCGTTGACGAAGCCCCTTGTAAGGGCGATGCAAGGCTTTCGAATACCCTTCCTAGAGAGAGCAGGTGGAAAGTCAGCGGACTTGAACTCGTTAATGTAAGGCAACTGTTCTTTGTGACTGTATGTACAGCCGTAATAGTTGTTTCTCACACTGGGATGGTAGAACAAGAAAAAGTTCGTTTTTCCAAATTCGACTAGGTTCGCCTTGACAGTAGCAAGGGCTGCTGGGGTCTTATAATGAGGATTTCTCTCCAGGTACACTTGACCGGCCGGATTATGGCGACGATGTCCAAAGGTCAAGTGACTGAACCAAAGCAGGGGCATGTCTTCGGTGAGCCATAGTGACGCAAGTTGCAAGGCAGGTCGCATGCTGCGGTAGAGTCTTAGGGTGTCTTGCCCTGGACCAGTGGCCCAGCGATCCAAAGCAAACATTGGATGAATAGGATTCGTAAGAGATGGCGCACGATATGTCTCCAATCCTCTGTGTTGTCGCATATGCCAGTCAAACTCGCGTTTGATATAATGAAGAAAGTCGAAGGCATCCATCGTTGAGGTAGTTACGAATTCCTGTAAGACTGTTGGGTTTTTCGCTAAAGATCAAACTGTCTTTTGAGCGCTTTGGCAGTAGTACTAAGCAGAGGATGGAGTTGCCTTCGATTAAATAGACCGTGGGAAGACCACCCGCTGCGCCGTGGAAGGGCGGTTGATGTCCGCGTCGCGTGAATGCATGCCTGACCTTAGAACTGAATATGATCGGTGACCTGGCGCGCTGGAGTACTGGCGGCTACCTATAGTACAGAACCGACTAGTCACTTCGTAGGATGCCGTGTGTATGTCGTTGCAAGGCGAACCATGCCGCTAGACATGAAGGGATCGTTCCTGAGATAGACACCCCGATGTAATGACAGCAGCGAGCAATCTTAGACCACGGACGTGTGATACTGGAAAGCTTGCGGTGAATGCAGGAGACTGGCGACAAATATACGGTGTGCATGATGTGGCCATGTGACTATTCGCGCCATCACGCCGCCACCTTGCGACTTCTGACAAGCTCAGGACTTGTCCTTTGTCGCTTTGCGTGGCCCATTCGTGTGGCTACGGTGCTGTCTACAGCATGGAAGGAGAGGTGGAACAGAAGATGAAAACGGTGGTTGCGGAAAAGTCGAACGTTGGAAGGAACGACCTCGGGAGCCACCCGCCCGGGCGGCTGATCTCACATCACGTGCACGCTAGTGCCGCATACAGCTCCAACGCATCATCATCATCACATTCAACGCACTCGTCATAACAACCAAGCAATCGACACGATATATCGATTGAAGTGTCGCTGCGCTGGTGCGACGGAATTACTTTTCCACACAGGAAACCACAACGCGAATCCTTTGTGTGCGCGATCGCGACTGTGCGATGATCATTCAGCGCGATCGAAAACATCGGCGAAAAGAACTTGCAGCGCGATGGGTCCACGATCTCACAACTTCGCCAGGACCGTCTCTGAAGATCGCGCAATCCATCTTTGTACCTCGGGATGCTCACGGTAATCGGCAGGAAAGAAGCGCGGTCCAAGAATCTTTTTCTGCACCTTTCCCGTTATCGTCTTCGGAAGCTCGTTGTCCACGATCCTCAACAGCGTGGGTAGCTTGTACCCGGCCAACCTCTCGCGTAGATCTCGCCGCAAATCGTCAACGGTTAAGACGTTTCGGAAGGTATTCCTGGGTCTCAAGGACGCAGAAGGCAATACTTCCTGCTGCAGCGAGACCAGTGCAGCGACGCGTTGCCCGTACTCCTCATCTGGTACACCAACCACCATGGCTTCGGCTACATATGGCAGACTCAGCAGTTCGCGCTCGACGTCCAGAGCCGAGATCTTGTACCCGCCTGACTTGATGATATCTAGAGACGCCCGACCGATAATGAAGTAATATTTGCCCTCTCGTCGCGCGATGTCGCCGCTTCGGAAGTATCCATCTCGATCATGAGCTTTTGCAGTTCCTTCAGGATCACGCAGGTACTTTGAGAACATATGCTGAATTTGGTTAACACAACCTATCAACGCTACTCATATAAGACTTACTGGGCTTTTCACGAGCACCTCCCCCTCATCTCCTTCGGATAGCTTGACATCAACGCCGCTGGCGAGTTCACCAACTGAACCTTCTGGCACGCTCTCGTCGCCGAGGCGCATCTTGAAGATGGCCCCAAACTCGGTAGCTCCGTATCGTTGCAGGATCGGCTTTTGCATCAGATGCTTCCAAAAGTCATCGAGTGGCTGCGGCAGTGCTGATGTTCCGCATAAGCAGGCTCGAAACTGTCTTGCGCCCGCGACGTACTTCGCTATCTCATCTGCGGGTAGCTTGCTTATTCGTTGTTGATAGTACCGTCTCATCCGCATGTAGATAGTAGGTACACCAGAGAAGACCGTCAGTCGTTGTTTGGTGTCGGAAGCGCCCTGTTTCCATCGCTCCCACATTTGCTCTTCGTCAAAGCCTCCGCTGCGA